TTTGTAAAGGATGCTTTAGAACATTACTTGGAAAAACATGAATAAACAATAAGACACATATACCATATTCAAGGATAGGATTACTCAATTCCTATCCGTAAAAGTCAAATTTGATGTCAAATTGTTCCCAAATTAATCTATAAATAATCAAAACCCCATTATAACTTTCATGGAACTTAAGCTGACTGTAAAATGTACACTACAGAGCAAGAGCCAAAGCTATTCTGAGAAAAAAAATGAGTAAGAATCGAACCCACTAGATTAAAACATACGATAAAGTAGTAATGTTTAACACGGTGAGTATGGAACATAGAAAAATACATCAATGAAACAAAATAAAGACACCGAAAATATTCCCAAGCATAAATGGTACCTCAATATTACCAAAGATGTGTGCCAAATGGGAACATATTCTTCAATAAATAGTGCTGGGAAAACTAGCCTGTCACATGGAAAACAAAATTTCCTATCTCTTTCACACCATACTCACAAATTAACTTAAATTTTTCTTAGAGAAAAAAAAAATAGAAAGTCTTTATGACTTTGGAGTAGAAATGCATTTTTTTTTTAAGACAAAATCTCTCTCTGTCGCCCAGGATGAAATGCTGTGGCACAATCTTGGCTCCCCGAAACCTCTGCCTCCTGGGTTCAAGCAATTCTACCTCAGCCTCCCGAGTAGCTGGGACTACAGGCACACACCACCATGCCCAGCTAATTTTTGTATTTTGGTAGAGGCGGGATTTCACTATGTTGGCCAGGGTGGTCTCAAACTCTTGACCTCATGATCCGCCCCCCTCGGCTTCCCAGAGTGCTGGGATTACAGGCGTGAGCCACCGCACCCAGCCCAGAAATGCATTTTTTAAACAGAAACAAATTATAAAAGACTGAGAAGTGTTACTATATCAAAATTTTAAATTTCTGGATAAAAAATAATTTTTTACAATGTCACAGAATAAAAAAGTATCTACAAAAAATTCATATTTAACCTCTACGAAGAGTTCCTATGATTACATTAAAAAGACAAAATAGAAAAATGGGTAAAAGAAAAATGGGCAAAGATATGAACAGGCAATGAAAGGTGCTCAACCTTACCATTAATCAGAAAAATGGAAAGTTTTTGAATGATCCATTGTTTTACATTCATTAGACCGACGGAAATGTAAGTAAAACAATACCAATTGTCAAGGCTGTACGAAGCAGAAATTCTCCCCCACTGCTGATGGGATATACATCAGCCTCCTGGAGGAGCAATGTGGCAATGCCTAATAAGGATGAAGAGGTGTACAGCCTGTGACAAAACAATTCCATTTCTCATTATTTCCTCCCAGGAAACTAGCACATATGCATAAGGAGATTGTTACTGTACCATTTTATTTAACAGAGAAATGTGGGAAACACCCAAAAGGGAAAAAAACTGTTGTGGCAGGGCACAGTGGCTCATGCCTATAATCCCAGCACTTTAGGAGGCCAAGGCGGGTGGATCACAAGGTCATGAGTTCAAGACCAGACTGGCCAACATGGTGAAACCCCGTCTCTACTGAGAAATACAAAATTTAGCTGGGCATGGTGGCTCGGGCCTGTAATCCCAGCTACTTGGGAAACTGAGGTAGGAGAACTGCTTGAACCGGGACCCAGGAGGCGAAGGTTGCACTGAGCCGAGATCACGCCACTGCACTCCAGCTTGGGTTACAGAGACTCCACCTCAAAAAAAAAAAAAAAAAAAAAAAACCTGTTGTATATTCACATTAGAATTCTGATGCAGATCTGTATTGGCACTGATAAATGATAAAAACATAATATTGAGGGTTTTTCTTTTTAAAGACCATGCAGAAAGTTAGTTACAGTATGATACCATTTTGAAAATGTCTGAACTCACAAACTAATGTATCCTTGTACATGTAATATACAGCTAAAAATGGAGTAGAAAGTCAACCAGAAAACATCCACCAGAAGAAAGAAAGAAGGAAAAAAGAGGGGACTGATACTCAACCTGTAATACGTCATTTATTCATTCACTCTGATACAAAGATGAAATATGCAATAATGCTGATGTGTTCATTCTTGGTGGTAAGTCCATTGGGGTGGGGTGGGTGAGTGGGTATGTGTGTGTGTGTGTGTTTTAGAGACAGAGCCTTATTCTGTTGCCCAGCCTACGGTGCAGTGGTGCAATTTCCGCTCACTGCAATCTCTACCTCCCAGGTTCAAATGATTCTCCTGCCTCAGCCACCCGAGTAGCTGAAATTAAACACACACCACCATGCCCAGTTAATTTTTGTATTTTTAGTAGAGATGAGGTTTTGCCCTTGTGGCCAGGGCTGGTCTCAAACTCCTGACCTCAGGTGATCCACCCTTCTTGGCCTTCTAAAGTGCTGGGATTACAGGCGTGAGCCACCACGCCTGCCCGCTGTTATACTTGTTATACTTTCTATCTCCAGCCTAACTCTCTTCCCTGGGCGTTAAATCTCTTCACACCTGAACTCTTCCAACGTTGAATGTCTAAAAGTGCGCCCTTTCTCTCAGCCCCTCCCTGCTCCTCCTCCAGCCTCTTTCTACTGCTGTGATCACCACACATTCTCCTCCTAAAGCTGTGGCGGGACCACGGATATCCTCCAACAACTTAAGAAAAAAAAGCAGGGAAAAACTTTCTTCAAACAACCAAGCAAATTCTGCACAGAAGCTCAAACAAACCAGACACATGCAGAGCTGCCCCCTATCTCAAACAAATCAGACACATGCAGGGACAGGGCTTGGGACTTCTCTAGCAGAGTGGGCCAGGCCCCAGAGAGAAGCCTCAAAAACAGTCTGAAAATCCCTGGTATGCAAAATGAAAGCAGAATTCCTTAAGAGGACACTTGCAAGTCCTTCACCACCCAGCCTTTCTCCACAGGTCATCCCCACCTTCTGGCGCTCTCCCCACCTTCCTGCAGCACCCCTGCTTCTCCACACCCCCACAGTGCCTAGCCTCCGTGCCCAGCAGAGCGAGAAAGTCTCGCTCTAGCACTCACCGCACATCCACACACTTGCACACAACAGTTCCACTCCCAGCACCAAGACACATAGCAGGCCAACTGTCCACGCTAACCCAGGCCCTCACTTCCACATCTCAGTATGCTCACTTCTGCCCCATCATCTTCTAACCTTGACTCCTGGGGCCTCTCTATCCTTGCAACAAATTCAGCCCAACAATACAACTGTTCTTTCACTCCCACCTCTTTGACAACTGTATTCTCCTCCTAGCTTCTGCAACTGCTAAGGTTCTGACAGCGGCAGTCTGAGAGCTCTCCTGCTCTTTGACAGTGAATGAAATCCTGCTAATAACTGTCTTCGCTTCCCTCTCTATTAATAATGACAGGTTAAATAGGGCAGCCAACTGCATGCTACTGACAGTTTTAAATGGCAACACATTAAAGCAAAAGGTGCAAGGTCAGCCTTTTATAGCTGTTGCACTTAACAAGGTTAAAATCTAATCTTCTGCTTTGAAAAGTCAGGAAGTTCAATTTATCAACTCAGCATGGACTGATCGCATTCTGGGGCATTCACATTAATGAAATTCACAAAAGACTGATTCATCCTACAGAACACCAATTGTTATGGACTGAACCATGTCCCCACAGAATTCACTACGCTGAAGCCCTAACCCTCAATGTGACTGCATTTGGAGATGGAGCTTTTAGGGAGGCGATTAGAGTAAATGAGGGATTCCCATCAATAAGAGTGGTGGCCTTATAGGAAGAGAAAGAGACATCAGAGAGGTCCCCCCGCACTGAGACAGAGATCAGACCATGCGAGGGCACAGAGAGAAGGTGGCCACATGGCAGGCCAAGGAGAGAGATCTCACCAGAAACCAACTCTGACAGCACCTTGATCTTGGACTTCCAACCTCCAGGACTATGATAACAGTAATTTCTCCAGTCCTTAGTATTTTACTATGGTGCCCCAAGCACACTAAGAATCTCATTTATGAACTCAAAATGAGAACACAGCAGACTAATCACACCTGTCTTCAAGGATAACCCATTCATGGCAGCAGAGCATTAAGATCTAGAAAATCATATTGATGGCCAGTTATTCAGCAAGCAAGGAACTGGAATGAGGTGATTTAAATGCTCTCAAAGAATCTGGAGTCCAATTCCCAGTTATGTGAATACCCACATTCACCTAATACAGCTTTAGCCCTCCCCTGAATAAACACCCATGAAGCATCTTCTCTCCAACTGTTTTTCCCTGTCCATGTTCTGCACTATTCACAAAGCCTGTTATTAAAACATCATGGACCCCTAACAACTTACAATTTCTAAAATCACAACTTATCCTACAAGAACTACATGTAGGGAGCAGAGTTTCACTTACTCTTGATTAATACATCTTACTCTTTAGCTAACTGTTTCCAAATAATAACCTGAAATGTAGACAGTTCCAGAGAATCCTATCCTTTAAACAGCTGACTAACCTTGGGAAGACTCCTACAGGAAATAAAGAGTGAGCAGACACCCCGTGCCAAACTGCAAGGACACGTCCGTGAAACTTATCATTCTCTACTGATTAAAACTGAAATGAAACAAAAACAGAACACTTCTAAACACAATGAAAACAGTTATCAGGCCTATCACTTCCACCCCCTTAAAAAAAAAACCTTTCAATAGGGTGAATAGCGTAATACAAGAGATACTCAGTCCATTAAGTTGCTAAGCTAACCGACTGTATGTATTTAAGACTACAAATTAACCTTAAAGACCAGATATACTTTTTTCTAAGCAGTTCAGGCATTTATAATTGAATAAATGGACTCTGCTGACCACCCAAGCTGAGATTCCAATGACAGTGACGAGGGGCTTTATCAGAATGGAACAAAAGAAATAGAAAATTGTGGGGTAACCAGAACAGTCTTCTAAATGAAGACGGTAAGTACATTAATACACCCTGAAAAACAGAATCAGAACACTTAGAACAATTCTGAGAAACACAAACCTTTATAAACCCAAGGATAGAGCTTTACTTACATGAAGGAATAATGAACTGGGGCTCAGTGTTGCCTGCGTAGCCAAGCTTGGTATACCTAAAAGCACAAAGTCATCAACACATGTTTAGATAATAATGCTCTCATCTACATTGAATTTATGTCTTTTATTATAAGCTCTCCAAGTCCTAAAATATCAAGCCTCAGAATACTCCTTGAAATTAAAAAAATAAAACTTGTGACCACTGAGAATCAAACACTAATTTCAAATAAGAAAGCAGTTTTACAAAAACTTAAAATAGTATGCTTGTTTCTACTAGAAAAAAAAGAAACACATATATACTAACATATAAATTACATTTTGTGTATCCCTAATAACTTTAAAAGTGCTTTGACTCTATCTTTACAAAAACTCTGTGAAGAAAGTAGAAATTATCCCTGTTTTGCAGATGAGAAAAGGGAGGCACTGAGAAGTGGATTAAACTGCCCACACTAATGAACTGCAGAAAAAGAACTCCAATCTCCATATGCAGGCTAATTCCAGCGCTGGCTCTCCAAGAAGTATACTTACTTCCTAGAACTTTTATACAAACTTCCTGAACTTTGGGGGTGGGGGGTGGTTAGAAAATGATTATGTAATTTTCTTAAAATGTCATGGCATATGTCTAAGAAACAGCTACTGCCATCTCCTGAGAAGCATCTGACAAGAGCATCTCTTTATCATCTCATTTCAGAAGAAGCCCATTTTCTGTCAAGACACTGCATGATAGATTCCAAAAGTCTCAACTAAAACAAATGCCAAAATACTACTATCTGTTCCAAAAGCATTTGCTAATCTCCTAAATATAAAAGGGGGGGGTGGTGGAAAAAAAAAACCACCACTCAGAACCATCTGCTGGAAATAAAGTTGAGAAGCGGTGAGTAAATTGAGAAGACTCATCAGCACGTCCCTTCTTATTAGGACTACTCTAATTAACAGTAAAACAGTAACGTCTGGACAACCAAGCAGTCATTCTATAATAATACTTACAGTGAATAAAAATACTAGCAGTGTTGGCCAGGCTCAGTGGCTCATGCCTGTAATCCCAGCACTCTGGGAGGCCAAGGCGGGCGGATCACCAGGTCAGGAGATCGAGACCATCCTGGCTAACACAGTGAAACCCCGTCTCTACTAAAAATACAAAAATTAGCCGGGTGTGGTGGTGGCGTGCACCTGTAGTCCCGGCTACTCGGGAGACACTTGAACCTGGGAGGCGGAGGTTGCCTTGAGCCAAGATCATCCCACTGCACCCCAGCCTGGGTGACAGAGGGAGGCTCTCTCAAAAAAAAAAAAAAAACAAAAAAAAAAACACTAGCAGTGTTAAAACTAACTTTATTAATTCGCTGTATTTTTAAAATTATTTCGAGATGCTTGCTATTACATTTTTGATCTGGTAATACTTCTAAATTCTAAATTAATTTTGTAATTTTTAAATCTATTTTACTATATGCTAATTTTACTACGTTTGAACACATGGCGAATGGGTAAGGTCTAAGGACACAAAAAACACATCAGCTCCCCTTAAATCACACATTACTGCTCAGCTTCCACAAGATCTGAGATCTTCATGCCACAGGAGACAGGGCAATGCCAAGCCCTGGGACTCCTCAGGCCTGAGTCCTGAGCTTCTGGAGGCAAGACCCATGTGAAGCCCGCTCCAGTTCCACAACTAGAGAGCTGGAAACAGAGTACAAGGCCAAGTGGACCCACAACAGCCCCACTGCAGGGTTCACAGGCCTACAAGGGGGATTTCAGAGCCAACTCAGGATGGAGGCAACAGAGACTGGCCTTTAGAATTCCAGATCCTCCCTCATTTGAACATCATTCTGGAATTATATTCCAGAAAATAAATATAAATAAGTGAATTACTAACCCAAGGCTAAACGTGCCTATGGAATCCAACAAGCAGATCTGAAATCATCAAATCTGTGTCTTTAACAAGTTACATCAGCTACTTCCCACAAAAAGTATGCACCTTATGCTTAAATAAATCCACCTTCCCACACCGTTAGACTATGAGTTCCACACGCTGCCCAGAACAGGGTCCTTCCTCATGGCTCTATCTACACCCCCGGCACAGTGCCTGGCACATGGCAAATACTCCAGAAATATCTGCTGAATGTATTCTTACCAGTTGCAACAAAGGTAATCATTGTCAAACTGCTAGGGGAAAACCGATATTTGAAAAAGGGATGCTGGAAGTCAGAATCTAATGGAACCAGAAAAAAATCACAGACATCATCTACCACAATCTCCTACCTAAAAAGGAGCAGTGACCAATGTCTAACGGGTTTTAGGAAAAAACAATAAACACTGAAACCAATATGGTAAAATGTTAACATTTATTAAAATTAGGTGCTAAGTATCATTCAGGCTGTTATATCATCTTCATATTTTGAGTACACTGTATTGGTTAAGACCATGCACTTTGGCACCATACTGAGTTCAAATCCCAGCCCCACTATTTGACAAATGTGTATCTTTGGGCAAGTTACTTTACCTATCTGTATGTCAGTTACTGTAAAATAGGGATAATACAACCTATCTTTTATTTTAGGGTTAATATAACAATTGAGTGAGTTAGTATATATAAAAATACTAGAATACTATCTATACAAGTATTCATTATTATTTTTACTATTATTTTTCTACATGTTTAAATGTTCCCTAATTTAAAATTTTGAAAAGTTAGTGTGAGCACAGTGGCTCACACCTTTAATTCCAGCACTTTGGAAGGCTGAGACAGGAGGACTGCTTGAGCCCGGAAGTTTAAGACCAGCTTGGGCAACAAAGCAAGACCCCATGTCTGCAGAAAACTTTTAAAGTGGCTGGACTGGTGATGCATGCCTGTAGTCCCAGCTACTTAAGAGACTGAGGCAAGAGGACCCCTTAAGCCCAGCAGTTCAAGGTTGCCTCAGCCTCCTGGGCTCAACTATGACTGTGCTAACCATACTCTAGCCTGGGTGACAGGGCAAGACCCTGTCTCAAAAAAAAAAAAAAAAAAAAATTCTGAAAAGTTAAAAAAAAAAAAAAAGCAATGTGTTCTGTGTCCCAAGTGACAGCATTCACTCTTTCCACTGTACACCATGGACAGTTTAATTTGTATAGTGGTGAGAATGAAGTGTATGAAACCAATAGTAAATCTAGGATATACCTGGTAAGTCTTCAACAATTATGTCTCATTTCCACCCCAAAGTTTTGTACCCTAAAATCGTAACTATGACCCACAGCAGAAAAAGGTCAGACTACAAAAACAGACTTGAGCACTGTTAGGCCCACAGCTCTTGAACTAAACACAGATGCCACTCAGCAACAGCTGCTGGAATGTTCAGATTCCGGAGCTAAAACGTTCTTTTAGACAGTAAAGCCTTGGAAGGAGGCCTCTATCAGAGTCACACTAAGCATTAAGTATCAATGACATTAAGCCAAGAATGATTTTCATGACTGAGGCAAACCAACATGAAGATATATTAATATTCTTACGTGTTAACAACTTACTGTGAGAGCTTCCCTTACCCTCCTAGCAGAACTGAAGTTATTTTTAAAAACACTGACGAAAGCACAAATTATTCAGATCACTTAATTCTAATGCAATATCTTTCCATTTTCCTGGGCTATTCCTTATATATTAATAGTATCAAATACACTTAAAAGTTTTGTGACTTTGAGTAATCATAATGTAGCAAACATCAAACAAATTTTTTAAGAGACATTCAAATTTAAAGTTTTAATAATATCTCCACCAACATAGGCTCACCCATCCCAAACTTCAACGGCAATCTATCAAATATAACTCAGTAGATGTCATCTAAAAAGTGCACATCCTCAAATTCTTCCCTAAGAGAACTCAATGCTAGACTGGCCTGCCCCATTAGAGATGACAACATTACAGCTCAATGCCATGAAGAGTAGGATCAAAAAAGCAAAAGTAAGACACAATTCCTAAATATGCAGAGTGCTCAAGACACCATTTACCAGAAAAAGAAACATTCCCTATTTCAACCAATTTACTAACTAGAAACAATGTAGCAGGCACTGTACTAGTCACTAAAACATATAGACTGAGGATAGGGATGAGGGTGGACATGGCCCAGGTCCTCAAAGTGTTCCTCAAAATGTTTACCTATTCAACAGAGGACTTCAGATTGAGTTTTCCAGTTTTTCCAGTTGTAATATGGCTTACTTTACCTGGAAGGCAAGTTTAAGATCATCTGGGTAGGCACTGAGAAAAAATAAGCCACGTGAGGCTTATGAGGCTTGACCAGATCACCTGGGAAACTCCTGAAACAGATTCCCAGGGTCTGTGCAAATTTCACTGAATAGGAATCTCCAGAAAAGATTGGGCATGTGTTCTTAACAGGCTTCCCTCACACACATGGTTCTGGTGAACCATCTTAGAACACTGACCTTGACTACACCACATGAAGTCACCTTTGGCATTTTTATATGATGCAAGCTCCCCAACTTCACAGTCACATTCTACCAAAACCTCCTTCCACCCACCACATTTAGCAAAATATATCTATAATATTAAAGTTTAGGCCGGGCATGATGGCTCACGCCTGTAATCCAAGTACTTTGGAGGCCAAGGTACTTTGGAGGCCAAGGTGGGCGGATCACCTGAGGTGGGGAGTTCAAGACCAGCCTGACGAACATGGTGAAATCCTCATCTTAAAAAAAAAAAAATAGTTTAATACTGGTCAGAAGTTCAAAAGAAACAACTCATACGTCCTTTTTTTTTTTTTTTTTTTTTTGAAACCAGTCTCACTCTATTGCCTAGGATGGAGTGCAGTGGTGTGATCACGGCTCACTGCAGCCTCTCAACCTCCCGGGCTCAAGTGATCCTCCCACTTCAGCCTCCCAAGTAGCTGGGACCACAAGCACATGGCATCACGCCCAGCCAAGTGTTTTTTTGTTTTTTTTTTTGTTTGTTTGTTTTGTAGAGATCTGGGCAATATTCCTGCTGTTACCCAGATTGGTCTCAAACTCTTTGGCTCAAGGGATCCTCCCACCTCAGCCTCCCAAAGTGCTAGGATTATAGGCATGAGCCACCAAGCCC